TATTAGATGTTGGGGTGTTGACCTATTTTTATTGATTTTGAGAGGGGTTCTCTGTGCCTCCTGGATTTTGATGCCTGTTTCCTTCCCCAAATTAGGGAAGTTCTCCGCTATAATTTGCTCCAATATACCTTCTGCCCCTCTCTCTCTTTCTTTTTCTTCTGGGATCCCAGTTATTCTAATGTTGTTTCATCTTATGGTATCACTTATATCTTGAATTCTGCCCTCGTGATCCAGTAGTTGTTTGTCTCTCTTTCTCAGCTTCTTTATTTTCCATCATTTGGTCTTCAATATCACTAATTCTCTCTTCTGCTTCATTTATCCTAGCAGTTAGATCCTCCATTTTTTACTGCACTTCATTAACAGCCTTTTTGTATCGAGTTGGTTAGATTTTACTTCTTTTATTTTTCCAGAAAGGGTTTCTCTAATAATTTTCGTGTTTTTTCAAGCCCAGCTAGTATCTTTTTTTTTAAGTTTTTATTTATTTATTTGAGAGAGAGAATGAGAGAGAGCGAGCATGAGATGGGGGAGGGTTGGAGGGAGAAGCAGACTCCCTGATGAGCAGGGAACCCGATGTGGGACTCGATCCTGGAACTCCAGGATCTTGACCTGAGCCGAAGGCAGTCACTTAACCAACTGAGCCACCCAGGCGCCCCCAGCTAGTATCTTTAAAATCATCATTCTGAACTCTAGTTCCAACATCTTACTAATGTCCGTATTGATTAGGTCCCTGGCAGTCGGTACTGCCTCTTGTTCTTTTTGTTGAGGTGATTTTTTCCATCTTATTTTGTCCAGAGGAGAATAGACGAATGAGAGAACAAAGTGCTAACAGGGTAAAAATGTCCCCAGAAAATATACTCTAAACAAATCAGAAGAGACCTGAAACCAGGGGAAACAAAGGGAAAGAAAGATAAAAGAAACAGAAAAAGAAAAACAAAACAAAACAAAAAAAAAACCAGAATATGATCAAATATATTCAGGCTGGTGCATAGATCAGTGCCACACACTAGATTTTGGGTGTATTTTGGTGTTAGAAGAAAGTGCCTCCCAAAATTTTAAAGAAAGAAAAACTTACGTGCACTCCCATGCTGCTCCTCCTGGGGGAGAAAGGGGAGTCTCCCCAGATCTGCCACTTTTTGGGTCCCTGCTGGAGGAGCAGTGGCCCAACTGTGCTGCGGATCACGGTTTATGGCAACCGCATGCTGAGAGCCTGTTCCTTGGCTCCGTCTCTGCAGCCAGCTTCCCTGCTCCAATACCTGCGAGCTCTGCCGCATCAGGCACCCCCGGTGTTTCTGTGACCCTGAGGATCCTGAGACCACACTGTCCCTGCGAGCTTCCACCCCCCCGCTTAGCCACTGGAGCGACGTCCCTCTGGGGAGATGACTTGAAAAAGTTCTGATTTTGTGCTCCATGGCTTTTATCACTTGCCAGAAGCAGCCGATGGAGGCCACCCCCACCCCCCGCCATCTATCCTCCTGAATATCACCTCGGATTCACTTCTCCACACATCCTACCTTCCAGAAAGTGGTCACTTTTCTGTTCAGAGAGTTGTTGCTATTCTTTTCTTCTATCTCCTGTTGAGTTCGTAGGTGTTCAGAATGGTTTGATCCTTATCCAGATGAATTTCTGGGACCAGACGAAATCCAGGTGTCCTACTCCTCTGCCATCTTGCTCCTCCTCCTTTAATTCTTTTGTCTTTTAATCTTTAACTAGAGTTGTGAGTGGTTTACCCCCCACTATTACCACATTAGGGTATTCTGATTTTATCTATTTATTTGCTATTTCCTGTGGATTTTATTCTTTCATATGTTTTCTTTTTCTAATTAATGTCCTTTCATTTTGGCTTAAAGAACCACCTTTAGCATTTCTTGCAAGGCTTGTTTTGTCATGAACTTCAGCTTTGTTTATCTGGAAAAATCTTTCTAACATCTCACTCTCTTCTGGCATGCAGATTTCTGCTGAAAAATCTACTAAGGGTGCCTGGGTGGCTCAGTTGGTTAGGCGACTGCCTTCGGCTCAGGTCATGATCCTGGAGTCCCTGGATCGAGTCCCACATCAGGCTCCCTGCTCAGCGGGGAGTCTGCTTCTCCCTCTGACCCTCCCCCCTCTCATGCTGTCTATCTCATTCTGTCTCTCAAATAAATAAAATCTTAAAAAAAAAAAGGAAAATCTACTAATAGTTTCATGGTACTTTCTTGTATATCTCAAGTTACTTTTCTCTTGACGTTTTTAAGATTCTTTTGTTTTTAATCTTTGACAATTTAATTTTAATGTATCTTGCTTTGGGGTTTTGGATTCATCCTTTTGCTTCCCCCATGGGCTTCCTATATCTGAATATCTGTTTCTTTCCCCCAGATTAGGAAATTTTCACTCATTATTTCTTTGAATAAAATTTTTGTCCTTTTCTCACTCTCTTTTCATTCTGTTACTCCTATAATGTGTATTCTCTTTAATGGTGTCCCCTAAGTTCCTTAAGCAATCTTCATTCTTTTTCTTTCCTTTTTAAGAAATGGAGGTGTCTTAAATGTTGGGACACTAAATGTGGGGTCCAAATCCTTTGGTCCTCAGGAAGAAGCTGGCAGTTGGGATTTCCCTTCCAACTGCATGGTGCTGGGCCAGTGGTGGGGTTTATGGAGAGAGTGTGTATCTACCTGCTTCAGTGTGAGTATTTTCTCATTTATTCAATTTGTAGGAGTCTCAGGTGTTTTCTGGATTTCTTTTAAAAGTAATTGTTCCATGTGTATATGACCATTCAGTCTGTCTCTGGTAGGAGTAAAATCCCAAAGTCTCCTATGTTGCCATCTTGGTCAACCTCCTATCTGTTGTTATTATTATTTTTGATTCTTTTGTTTTCAATACTTCCATGAAATTCAGGAAGTATTTGTTATGGATTAAGCCCTCCTTTATTGGATTTTATAAATCCCTTAAAAATATTCCAGTACTCCCAATTCAGTCCTCTGCCATGCTTTACATATCAGTATTTTGGAAACAAACAACAAAAACAAAAAGGAAACTTATCCCTTTCAATACTTTCATGTCTTAAAAGTCAAAGCCCTTGCTTTAGGGTTATTATCATTTATTAACTTAATTAAAAAACTCAGTTTTAATTATCAATGTAGTGCACAAGTTTCTGATTTTGGGCAGTTTTTGCCCACTTCCTACCTTTGGTAATAAGCATCAGTCTTTTTTTTTTTCTTTCTTTCTCTTTTTTTTTTTTTTTGTTTAGTCTCATTATTAGAATATATCCAGGAAAAAATAGGGAAAAAGAAAACTGAATTACATTGAAGAACAATATATATAATGTTATTTGAAAATATTTTCCTGATATACAATTTACTGTCCATTACTCTTTAGTGTCTCTTGACAAGCAATCTATAATTTTTATGACTCAATAAAACAATTATTTTTTATGTACATACTTCTGATCACAAGGTAATGGTTGTGAATTTTTAAAACCACAGTTTCCAAATTTATCAATGCGAGAATTGATTCCTTTGAAGCAGGCAAATGGAGCACCTTGAGCACCTAAAAATTCAAAGATGTCTGTTAAATTATTATTCTTAATCCAAATTAATTTTTTTGTTCATAAAAAACCAATGAAACTCTTACTGCATAAACAAATATTATGAAAAAAGTCATTCTTTTTTTCTGTGTGTATCCTGTCAATGCAAGTAGAAAGAAACAATTATCTAACAGATAACAGAAAAGAATTATATCAATTGTAGTAGAATTAAATTATTAAAAATATTTGCTACTCTTCCCTGTGGGAATGCATACTGCCTCATCCACTGAATATTAAGCTTGAACTTGTAATTTGACCCTCTTAATGAAATGTCACTTATGGGCAGAAAGTCTTGTGGGACTTGTGAATAGAAGAAGTGTTATATTCTCTTTTTTTCTCTGATGGGGGATAAGCAATGTTTTAAGTAGAGGTTCATTTGTCCATCTGGAGATCATAGTCAAAGCAATATGGAGTAGCAGAATAGTTGTTTTGGATATGTAAATCTGAGATATTTAGAGTTGTTTCCATTTCATTAAACACATAAATTGGTACCCAAAGTGGAGTTCTCCTGTAAAATATGTGGCATTGTCATTGAAGGCTGGCAGTAGGTGATAAGAAAATTATTATCATTGGATAAAGAAGAGTAATTCATGCTACATGAGGTGAAACACGTAGAGAAACTCTCTTCTCAGTGATTGAAAGGGAGATAATAGCCTTAATAAACTTGTTGTCTTAGGCAAAGAAGTAGGGAAACAGAATCTGTCTTGGTTACTTTTGGCTGTATTTGACCAGAAGGTAAAGGTACTTAAGAAAAAGATGAACTAAACTCAGGATAGAATCAGTTATTCCAGAGGTAGTAGTAAAAAAGAAAAATCGAGAAAGTCTAGAAATGTGTCCATTCTATAGGCATCGGGGTGGATAATGATGGTTGTTGGCTGATGTAAATTAGCCAAATTATTATGCTTATTTCATTGTTCTGTGTCTCTTCAATGGTGGGTGTTTGTGGGTGGGTGCTAACCTGGTAGATTAATGCAAAGATCTTCACATTATTTTTCTTTTCTTTTCTTTCTTTTTCTTTTTCTTTCTTTCTTTCTTTCTTTCTTTCTTTCTTTCTTTCTTTCTTTCTTTCTTCTTTCTTTCTTTCTTTCTTTTTCTTTCTTTCTTTCCTTCTTCTTTCTTTCTTTTTAAATTTTATTTTATTATGTTATGTTTGTTAATCACCATACATTACATCATTAGTTTTTGATGTAGTATTCCAGGATTCATTGTTTTTCGTGTTATTTTTCATCTCCATGTATCTACCCACATATTTCTATCTCAGAACTCTTGCCTCTAATCTTCCAGTCTTTCCACATCCAGGCTCCCCACCAACAAACTAGGTCCTTTGTCATTGTTCATGTGTATATCTATAATCTACCTTTGGCCATTTCTCCTTCCGCAAAAAACGGATGACCAGATGGTCAATATCTTTCAGGGCATCCTCCAAAGTGAGGTTGCAGTATGGCTAATTTCCCCCCACCCCCACTTATAACCAGTGACTGAGCCAACACACCTATAAAATAAGCCTAGGCGTGTTCTTCTTGTGTAATTGGTCATGGTGAAATTCCATGTATCCATAAGTGTGAGCTGAGGGAGATGCATAGGGGAGAAAGGTGACTGTTTTGGATTTCCTGCTTATGGATTTTTTCTTCTGTCCTCTGCTTTTAATCCAGGTGAATGAATGACTTCTATCTGTCTGACCACTTAACTTAGTATATCTGACATAATTGAGCTTAGGCTGTACCTTTCTGAACACATGGATATTTGTTGTCTGAAAGTCAGATTCTTTAGCTCCACAGGGGTCACTAGTGTGACCAGAGGTTTTTTTTTTTTTTTGTCAAAGTGGTACAGTTCTCCAGTTTAGATGGCACAATCTTCCTCCAGAAGCCCAGAGAACTGCCCAGTCATTCTCCCAAAGAGGCTTGGTATAAGCCCCACATAGTATTTTTTTTCCCCGACGCACACTTCTGATATTATTGGGGCTGCTGTGTTTTATAATTCAGAATGCATGGCTGCTTGCATTGCAGCTTGGACATGCTGCAGAGCCCTTTTTTGCTTTTCACCTCACTCAACATTAGCAACATTTCATGTCATCTAGTAAATGGGAAATGAAGCAGTGTGGAATATACTGCCTTCAGATCCCAAAGAGAACTACCAGGTGTTGTACTTTTTAGTTCAATAAGATGCAAGATACATACAGTTTGCTTTTACTTTGCAAGGGATGTCAGGTCATACCTCTGATCACTGGACTCCTAAAAATTTTGCTGATGACAAATTTCTAAACATTTGGAAGTCTGTCTCCTGCCCTTTACAGCACATGTGTTGTATTTAATGCTCCAACATTCTAGTGATGCTTTGCTTGTTTAGCTGGATTAGAACAAAATCACTGATGGAGTAGACAATGTGATATTTTCTAGGATGTCTACATCTCTACAACTAAATTATGATTGAGGGCAGGAGAGTAAAAATAACCCTGCCACAAAACTCAACATTAATGCCATTATCCATTCCATGTGAAAGCAAACTCTTTCTAATTCTTTTTTCAAATAGAAAAAGAATATATTTGCCAAATCAGTGACTATACTCCTACCACATATCTGAGGCCATGTTATTCTGCTGTAGCATAGACACCATATCTGGCATAGTGGGTGCAATTATTTAATCTACTACTTGTCTCCATTTGCAATAGATTATTATTATCTTCTGATGCCATTTGGTTTCTGCAAGAATCATGTTGAGTAATTAAATGTAGATATACAGTTAACCACCTCTGCATCCTTTAGATCTTTAAGGGTAGCATCAATTTGGGGCACCTGGGTGTCTCAGTCAGTTGAGCATCAGACTATGGTTTCAGCTCAGGTCTTAATCTCAGGATTGTAAGCTCAAAACCACATTGGGCTCCATGCTGGTCATGGAACCTACTTTAAAAAAAAATAGCATTAATCTCTGGAAAGAGACAGTTACAGAGGCTTTCTCCATGGCCTTGCCAAATAGGCCAAGGACATAATGATAGAATTGCACAAACTATTAACATGTCAAACCTGATGATATCCTCTAGGACTAAAAAATAATTGCCAAATGGATTTGTGGACCTAGTGGACCCATTGTACACTGAAAGTTATCAAGGATTCTATTCCTTAACCCCTATAAGTCCCCACTCTCAGAGATACATGATGACACTGTGTTTCTGGGTATCCACACCAATTCACACTCTTTGTCCACTAGTTTCCAAAATGCTTGGGTATTTTCATTTCCCACATGAACAGATACATAATTAAATGATTGAGGATCATTTGAGAATGTGTTAGAGAAATTGTTAGCATGTATGCTTGCCAAGGTGATGTGTAGTTTCCCTTCTGGAACTCTAACCCTCTCTTAAGTCAATGAGTTTTGGTTCTGAAAGTTGGCTTAGATTCAGAATTTAGACATGGAATTATGGCATTTATTAATGTAACTCTACTCAGTCCCCTAGTCCTCCATTTTTTAATTTCCTTTGATGGTATAAACTGGGTAATATTCTATTATCTATCTTCCTGATTGTCTGTAGACTAGGTATCCATGTCTGCAACTCTGTCTCTGCTGCTTATTACAATAATATTATCCATCTGGTTTCTGGAAGCCAAGCACTGCTCTCTATTTTTTTCAAGACCTTGATTTTTTTTTCAAGACCTTATCAATCATGCCCATTGTTATCAGTGAGCCTACCTACTTCTATAATACCATCTCCTCCTATCACCCCTGGCCTACAGAGAAGACCATCATGAACACTTAAAGTGATTTTGATACACCTCTTAGCACCACATTCCCTGTGGCATTGGGCCTTCCTGTTGGGACTATTTGGCCTTGCACTTACAGCATATACATTACAGTATATCCATTTCCCTGAGACTTTTCTTTCTTTCCGTCATTATTTCATGGCAATTCCATCATTTAAATTTCTCATGGAGTGAGCCATCCCATTTTTTCCATGCCTCTGGAAACAATTCTAATAGAAATTATCATCTTCTAGGATCCTAGCCAGGGTGTTAATTCCTTTTATCCTGGGAGAGTGCTCCCAAAACAGTGAGCTCTATTATCTAATCTTATGTTCCCCTATCCAGTCTTATGATCAAGCACTCTCAGAATCCAATTTCATGTAAACTCCCTTGATTCTGGCAGTAAATGCTAACTAGGACCTACAGCTCCATTGGGGTATATTTTCCTTACTCCCTTATAAGTTCCAGCAAATTCGGCTCATTTTGTAGTGCTTTAACTCAATTTTCAGCTTTAGTGTCCAGAACAGTTAGGAGAGAGGTCCTAATGGGGATACAATTTGTGTTTTGAGTGATAGGCTTCCACATTATCTTTAAACAATGGGAACATACTTATACCATTCTTAATTGGGTGCAGGTGGTGGTGTGAGGGATCAGAGCTGTGCCACTTCATAAATTCAGTAGTTTCAGAGAAGTGTGGAGGCTAAAATTGGGGGAACATATTTTCAACTGTTCCTATCCCAATTGTAGTTCTCATTCTTTTTCCAGCCAGAACCTTAATCATGGTAAAGCAGACTTGACTGAGAATTTACCCTCCTCTGAAGTTCCTTTAACTTGATAATTAAGTCTTTAACTTTCTCTAACCTTCTATTTTAAGAGATGAAAACCTCTTTATGAGTTAACAGTGGGGCCCATTCAGCATACACTTTGATTTTAAATGAACACCTTTTTGTTATCTTTTCTTAGATTTCAATGTTGCTTGGTAATAGCCATCTAATACCCTTGTCCTTAGAGTTACCATTTCCCCCATACATTTCAATTGTACCAGCTAATGGATTATCTTTTACTCTCCCAGTTCCACTTTCACCAGTGATGCATGCTCATTCACAGCTTGGCAGTAAGTAACTTAGTTTTGAAAATGATCTTATAGGCTCTATTTTTCACACCATTTTCAGGATCAACTGTTATGGTTCGAGCTTCTAGAAGCCAGCGTCTAGATGAGGTATAATGTGAAAGCTATTTATTAGTGATTAGAACATCTGGAGGTGAGAGGGAGAAAGCAGGATAGAGCAGATAAGAAGTCAAACAGAAATGCAAGTCCAACAAAGACTTGACCAACCCTATGGGTAGCTGTCTTCCAGAGTACAAATTGTGCTTGATTTGTGCCTGATTAGAACACAATTGTCAGGCCTTTATACCCCACCTCAATTAATTATTGGATTTGTGCTTTTGGGTGAGGTGTATGCAGTTAAGATAAATTCTGGAGGAGTGAACTGACAGCCGGAGATTATACGAGGACAGCAGGCAGTATTTCCCTTGTCCACTACACCTTATTTTTTTCCCCAGCATTCTATTTTCTTTCCTTTAACTGCACTTAGCACAATTAAAGGTTTCATATTTCTTTTGTATTTATGTGTTTACTGTTTTTGTCTCTTGATCATAAGCTGTATGAGTACAATAGCCATGTGACAATTTTCATGTTGTTGAATACTATCAGCTTTGTGTGTTCTTGTCTTAAGTACAGCCTTTTGCCCTATAGTTTTTGGTAACATAAGAATAAGAAAAAAGTGCCTCCCCCAGATAGGAGCCAAATAAATGAAGAAAGGAGGGATGAATGAATGAACTACATCAAAAGATCAAATTTTGACACAGTTGGGTAAGTTTTGTGGGATACTAGAGCATATATTAGAGGAGGAAATACACATTAATGGTTAAGTCTTATTCTTAACAACCTTATTTTGATTAGAACTCAAAAAGATGTCAAGTGACAAGTAGTTCAATTCTGGATCAAAGATTTATTTAATGAAAAAGAAGAGTATGGCCTGGACAATCTTTAATGGATGTTATAGAGAGTATTATTTAATTTTATTTTTGAATAATATATTAAACCTTGATCTAAAGTTACTGTGACAATGACAAATAATATTTTTTTAAATGCAAGTAAGCATTGAAAAAGAAAAACAGCAAAGAAACAACCAAATGAAAAGTGGAATCCTGAAAATACAGCCTATAGAAAATACCACTGATCTGTCATTTAGGAGATTATAGCTCTGCAGCTCTGGTTAAATGTTGGTTAAGTCACCTAATCTGAAACTTGTTACTAAGGAAAAGTTTCAAATAATTAGGAAGACAATATAAATTGCATACCGTGTCATTTGGCATAAACTATAGACCTTATTACTACTGGGCAAATAACTGAAAAGTGGTGCTTATACTACTTTTGCTCAATTAGTAAATGATTGATCTGAATACATTTCACTGAGTGATTTTGATTTATTCAAATTTCATTTAATCCCCCTAAAAAATCGTATTGGGGTATTATGAATAGTTACTACATAAAAATCAAGCATATATGCACAACTCTCATTTGAATTACTTGGAAAAACTGTTTAAAAAGAAAATATAAAAATGAATTTTGGTCAGTGGCCTATGACTACTGTTATCCTAGAAGTTCCTCAGTTAAGAAATATGATTATACTTGAGGGAAATTTACTCTGAACTTCTTGTTTTATGCCATTAAAATTAGATCATAAAGATGTGAAGTAAAAGAAATTTAAGTAAAATTCTAGAATTTACTGATTTGCCATTTCAATTTCTATGTAAATTATAAGTGGTAAACATGGATTTTTGTCCAAGTTGCTAAGTACAAAAAGCAAAAATCAAACCATGAGAAGAGGAATGTACAGTATTATTCTGGAGATACTATACAATACTATACTACTATCCTCTAAAACCATCTTCCTTAATTCAAATTTTTTTCTTTTTCTTTTCGTTCTTTTCTTTTCTTTTCTTTTCTTTTCTTTTATTATGTTATGTTATGTTAGTCACCATACAATACATCATTAGTTTTTGATGTGGTGATCCATGATTCATTGTTTTCGTATAACACCCAGTGCTCCATGCAGTACGTGCCCTCCTCAATACCCATCACCTTTATTGAGCTTGAGATTCAAGTTCTTCAACTTCTAGAGTCGTGTGATATGTATTTTATCATATAGAGGAAACCAAATTTAAGGTAAAAGAAATATATAAGAAAAAGCAATACCTTCTCCAAATATCTGGGCACACTGGTTATCAGTAGTTTGGCATCGTCCATTATAACAATATGCAGTTCCCAACCTGCACAACATTCCATTTGATGCATAAGTGTCAGGAACACAATTATTAGATGTTCCATTGCAATATTCTGTAAAATCACATTCTTGATCAATACTCTTTCTACATGGAGTGCCTGCTATTGATATCTAGGAGGAAAAAGAAAAAGAAAATCATGTTCTTGTGAATGAGTATTCTTACTTACTTAGTGAAGGGATTTATCAAATAAAATATGCCTAATTATTGATATTTGGGGGAATCATAGAATTCCCAAGGTTGTAAGTTCTCTGAAGGAAATGTCAGGTACAGTATTCATTATGAAGCCTGAAGGAAAGTAACTACCTCAGATGTAAAATGATCCCTTCTGACAGAGGGTTTATAACCATTCTGCGTTCTGCATTGGGAAGCCATCTGACTCAACCTGCATTTGGAAGGAGCCTGAATGGGTAACACATACCTGTTCCTCAAAATTGGAAGAACAATGCCTTTACATTTTTGTTCTCGAAGTGACCAAGAGCCAGATTGCCTGGTTTCAATTTCTTGCTTGGATTTTCACTAGTTTGTGTGGGTGAGATACATAATCTCTCTCATTGGCAGTTGCTTTGTTTGTAAACTCAGGATGATAATCATTCTCTCAGAGAATGATTTTGGTAGTATTAAACTGAGTTAAACTGGATTATTTGTTTTTTTGAGTGTTGAGTTTGATACATTTGTTATAGATTTTGGATACTACCTTTTATCAGATATTTCATTTGCAAATATCTTCTCCCATTCTATAGGCTGCCTTTTAGTTTTGTTGTTTCCTTTGCTGTGCAGAAGCTTTTAATCTTGATGAAGTCCCAATCATTCATTTTTGCTTTTGTTTTCCTTGCCTTTGGCGACATGTGTAGTAAGAATTTGCTATGGCCGAGGTCAAAGAGCTTTCTGCCTATGTTCTCCTCTACGATTTAATGGTTTCAGGACTCACATTTAAGTCTTTTATCCATTTTGAATTTATATTTGTGTATGGTATAAGAAAGTGGTCCAGTTTCATTCTTCCACATGTTGCTGTCCAGTTTTCCCAACACCATTTGTTGAACAGACTGTCTTTTTTCCACTGGATATTCTTTCCTGCTTTGTTGAAGATTAGTGACTATATAGTTGGGGGTCCATTTCTGCGTTTTCTATTCTGTTCCATTGATCTTTGTGTGTTTGTGCCAGTACCATGCTGTCTTGATGACTACAGCTCTGTAATATAGCTTGAAGTCTGGAATTATGATGCCTCCAGTTTTGCTTTTCTTTTTCAGGGTTGCTTTGGCTATTTGGGGTCTTTTGTGGATCCATACAAATTTTAGGATTGTTTGATCTAGCTCTGCAAAAAAATGCTATTGGTATTTTGATAGGGATAGCATTTAATGTGCAGACTGCTTTGGGTAGTATAGATGTTCTAATAATGTTTGTTCTTCCAGTCTAAGAGCATGGAATGTTTTTCCATTTATTTGTGTCCTCTTCAATTTCTTTCTCAGTGTTCTACAGTTTTCAGAGTACAGATCTTTTACCTCTTTGGTTATGTTTATTCCTAGACATCTTATGGTATTCAGTGCAATTGTAAATGGCATCAATTCCTTGATTTCTCTTTCTGCTGTGTCATTATTGGTGTATAGAAATGCAACAGATTTCTGTACATTGATTTTATACTCTGTGACTTTGCTGAATTCATGTATTAGTTTTAACAATTTTTTGGTGGAGTCTTTTGGGTTTTCTACGTAGAGTATCATGTCATCTGCAAACAGTGAAAGCTGTACTTCTTCCTTGCTTATTTGGATGACTTTTATTTGTTTTTGTTGTCTGGTTGCTGAGGCTAAGATTTCTAGCACTGTATTAAATAGTAATGGTGAGAGTGGACATCCCTGTCTTGTTCCTGACTGTAGAGGAGAGGCTCTCAGTTTTTCCCCATTGATGGTGGTATTAGCTGTCAGTCTTTTGTACATGGCCTTTATAATGGCTCCCAAATAATCTAGTTAAGAAATGGGCAGACGACATGAATAGACATTTTTCCAAAGAAGACATCCAGATGGCTAAGAGACACATGAAAAAATGCTCAACATCACTCATCATCAGGGAAGTACAAATCGAAACCACAATGAGGATCACCTCACCACCTGTCAGAATGGCTAAAATTAACAAGTCAGTAAACAACAGGTGTTGGCAAGGATGTGGAGAAAGGGGAACCCTATTGCACTGTTGGGAATGCAAACTGGTGCAGCCACTATGGAAAACAGTATGGAGGTTCCTCAAAAAGTTAAAAATAGAACTACCCTATGATACCTCAATTGCACTGCTAGATATTTACCCAAAAGATTCAAAAATAAAGATTTGAAGGAATACAAGCTCCCCAATATTTATAGCAGCATGATTAACAATAGCCAAACTATGGAAACAGCCCAAATGTCCATCAACTGATGAATAGATAAAGCAGATGTGGCATATATATATGCAATGGAATATTATTCAGCCATCAAAAATAATGAAATCTTGTCATTTGCAGTGGCATGGGTGGAGCTAGAATGTATTATGTTAAGGGAAATAAGTAGGAGAAAGACAAACACAATGATTTCACTCATATGTGGAATTTAAGAAACAAAACATGAACATATCGGGGGGGGAAACAAACCATAAGATACTCTTAATAATAGAGAACAAACTGAAGGTTGATGGAGGGATGTGGGTGGGGGATGGGCTAGATGGGTGATGGGTATTAAGAAGGGTACTTATGATGAGCACTGGGTGTTACATGTAAGGATGAATCACTGAATTCTACTCCTGAAACCAATATTGCACTGTACGTTAACTAACTAAAATTTAAATAAAAATTTGAAAAAAAAACTGAGTTAAAGTAAAAAGTGCTTAAAACAACACATGGTAAACAACGTATGTAATAGCTATCAACATCATTATATGTAGTATTATCTGAAAGTAGAAAGACCTCCTTGCATAGCTCAGATAAAGATTACAGTTATTATCAAATTTATATGGCTTGTGAAGTACAGTATCTATTGCTTTTCATAGGGAAGTTTACCCCCTTCCCCCCTCCCACACTCTACAGTTCTGTTTAATTGAATTAATACTTAATAGACTGAGACAAAGATGAGTAACGAATGAAGTGGTGTCTTAAAAGTGATGAAATTAAAAAAAAAAAGAGTATTTCAACCTAAAATCCTATACCTACAAAATCTATATTTCAAAAATTAATGAGACATAAAGACTTTCTTAAGGCAAATAATAACTGAGAGAATTCATTTTCAGCAGACCTAAATTACAAGAAATCATAAAGGGAGGTCTTCAGGCACAAATAATATGATAATAAACAGAAATCTAAAATACAAAAGGAAATTAAGAGTAAAAAATGGAATAATTATTGTTAGTTATTAAATTCATTTTTCCCTTATTTTACTTCTCTAAAAGATAAAAGCTATATAAAGCAAAAATAGTAACAATGTATTTTGCATTTCTAGTATATGAGAGTGTCCTATTATAAGACCCATTCACTCCATGTGAAGTGGTATATTTTATTAAATCAGATTCTGATTAATCAAAGATTTGTAAACTATGGGACAACCAGTAAAATTATTTCTAAAGTGTAAATAACAACCAATAACAAACTAGGGTTTTAGAGGGGAGGGTGAATGGGGGGATGGGTTAGTCTGGTGATGGGTATTAAGAAGGGCACATATTGCATGGAGCACTGGGTGTTATACGCAAACAATGAATCATGGAACACTACATCAAAAAGTAATGATGTAATGTATGGTGACTAACATAACATAAGAAAATAAAATTTAAAAAAACCAACAGCAAAAATAAAATGAAGCTACATGTTGCATACTTTTAGAGTTTACATTTAATTTTTGGAGCAACTGTAGGTCTTATAAAAGGCTGATGGGAATTGACAGTAGTGTACCTACTTTAGAAAACAGGTCTTTGGTTTCCTATATAAAGCTCCATATACATTTACCATATGAACCAACAATCTTATAAATGAAATAAAACTCTATGTTCATACAAACCCTGCTTAGGAATATTATTTATAGCAGCTGTATTTTCATCACCAAAACCTGAAAATGACTGAAATGTGCCTCAATTGGAGGAGGATGTATTAGCAGACTCTGGTACAACCTTACGATACCTGCAACACTTTCAGCAATAAAAAAGGAATGAGCTCTATGGCCAGTCAACTCAGATCAAAGAGCTCTTCCAGAAGGAATAGCCACCTGGAGAGAATGTCCCTGCTTCTGCAGATGCCAGGGCCCTCGGTCAGTGTGATCTTGAAGTACAATCCAGGCATTGCCTCAGCTTTGGTGTATATGCCCAGTCTGCTTCACCAATCTCTGGTGCAAGTCTGATAAGAAAGCAGGCTTATGTACCCGTGCTTTGCATGATACTGTGGTGTCATTACTCATATATTATCAAAAGGTAAGCTTCTTTTCTTTATTTTTAATTGTGGTAAAATACACATTTGCCATATCAATCATAAAGTGTATAGTTCAGTAGGCACTTTGCTTTTGCCTTTTTTGCTTAAAAAGCTAATTTAAACACTAAATTATGTCAGTTATTTGAAAATAGGTCAACTTATATAGATAACAAAACTTTGATGTGGATATAAGGCCTTCTTTTTCTTTTTAAAGGCTTTTAAAAATAGTGTTGACATCAGATCTCTAATTTAAAATGCATTAGAATTGTTTTGTTTTTTGGGAAACCCAATTGGCTCCTACCTTAGTCTATAGTTCCATTAATAAGAAACCTTTTAAAATTTGCATTTTGTAGTTCTTTCTGCTAAACTGGTTGTTATTAGCATTGAGATAAAATACAATTTTGAAAATTTTCTCTTTTGTATGAAGACTTTGTACCATATGTGTATTACTGATGAGGAGGGAATCAAAAAAGATTTAGGTGTTTAAAGGAGCTGCTTTTAATTAGGACTTTGGATTCTGTAAGGAAAGTCACTTCAGTTTTGACCCTTTTTCCACAAGCAAACACCTGAATGCCCTGGGCTGCATACCATTCCTCATGCCTTTTTCTCTTAACTGTCAGAGATGCTGCCACTGGTTCTGCCTTGGATTGTACTCTGACATGCCTGAGTAATAGTGAGGTTAGTAGTGGTTGTTGCACACCCATTTGTGAGTTAACCACTATTTGAATGAGGCTGCTTTTTAGAGTTTCAGGTAACTGGAAATTTTTCAACTTTTGTGTTTTTTTTTAAAGATTATTTATTTATTTATTTATTTGAGAGAGAGAGCAGAGTGAGCAAGAATACGAGTAGGGGGAGAGGGGCAGAGGGAGAGGGAGAAGCAGCCTCTCTGCTGAGCAGGGAGCCCGATGCAGGCTCGAGCCCAGGACCCTGGGATCATGACCCCAGCCAAAGGCAGATGCTTAACCAACTGAACCACCCAGGCTCCCCTCAACTTTTGTGTTTAAAAGTGTTTTGGAAAAGCTGAAACAAAGTGAAAACATACAAAACTAATGATTTTTGCTTTGCAAAATTATACACAGGTGTTTGTTTACTATTTATTCTATAATCCTCATTGTCTATATAACTTCAATAACACTTAAATTTGTATTTTTTTAAATCACTGTAGGGATTCTGCCTTCTGCCATATCTTTGTACATTCTAACCAAGTTATATGGAATGTTTGTGAGTTAGTTTCTATACCATCTATAGAAACTACCATTCTATACCATAATAATAAATACCTATTCTGAAAACACAAACTAAACAAACAAAAAAGGAATGGGCCACTAACAAGCACCACAACATGAATGAGTCTCAAATGCATTACGCTAACATGCCTAATTACAATGTTTATACATATGATTCAATTTATATTTCTGTAAAAGGAAAATTACAGATGCAGAAACAGATCTGTAGTTACCAGGGTCTGTGGGTGTAGGTGTGGATTCAATACAAGGAGGCACATGGTGACTTTTTGGGAGTGGTGATACAATTACCTATCCCTTGATTGTGGTGCTAATTATAAGATTGAAAGTTTGTTATAACACTCAGAATCATTCACTAAAAGAATTTTACTATAATAAAATTATAGTATAGTAAGCTATACCTTAATTGAAAAATTGGGCAAAAAGAACGTATGGTATATTTATGTGTATATAATATATCAGAATTGGAATTATAAAATGTTTTGCATTATTGAACTTGATTTCTCATCCAAACATGTCTTAAAAAATAATATCATATTAGTGCACCCATATTTAGCCTGCAGTTATTAATTCTTATATAATATACAATAATTTATATAACCATTCAAATGCTAATAAATATTGTTTATTGTTTGCTACTGAACAGTTCTTTAATTAATGTTCTTTTTTGAACTTTCCATACATGTGCATATTTCTACCATATGTACATAAGAGAGAAACTGGTAATTTATACTCTGTTCAGAGATATTCCACTATTGCTCACCTTAAAGGGATTGTAGCAATTCAAAATTCCACAAACACTCTCCAAAAATGATCTTTATCCCTTCTCTTTGGTTAATATCTGACACTGTTGTTTTTAAGACTACCATTTGGATGACCAATTTATGATACTGTATTCTTTTTATTTGTGTTTACCTTAATTACTGCAGATAAAGTACAGAAATTGAACAATTCTACTTTCATTGTTATAAATTGCCTAAGCACCCCCTTTCCCTGTGTGTGTGTGTGTGTGTGTGTGTGATTTGCCTTTTATTTATCAATGTCTGAGAGTTCTTTGCATATTCTGTATGCTATACATTTTGTCTGCTACACAATTTGTCTATTTGTGTTACAATTTTTCCACGGTCATTTACCATTTATTTGACTTCACAATTTCTTGAGAATTGATAATATTTTGATATAGTAATGTATATGTTTACTCTTCCTTTATCTCATAATTTAGAAGATGGTAAACTGGTTTGAACACAACAGAATAATCAGTACCTATTTGTGATGCATTCTTTAATTCATAGTAGTTTTCCTTTTTACTTGTGGTTGTTTATGGACTCTTCATTTTGTTACACTGAATTAGTTCTATATTCTTTTTATCAATGCCACAATAATTTAATTAATATAAACTTCTATGATCACAGTTTAATTTCTTTTTTATAAATGTTGGAAACTTACCTCACAGTTTGATGTACAGCATAGTCCAGAGCCACATCTTGCTGAGTCTTTCAGTTTACATGTATTAAAATCACAGCACTTCTTAAACTGACATTCCTAAAATTTCATAAGAAATATTATTGTAGTTCAACCAGTTAACAGCTCTTATTTATTAATCTTAGCTTCTATTTATACACTTTTGTGTTCAACTTTTCAATTATACAATATATTCAGTGAAGTTTTATTGTTTTATTATTTCTAGAATGTCCAAAAGAACATATAACTATAAAAACTAAATAACATATGAAACAGCAGTTGATCAGTAACATTTATTACTTAAAATCATTGATAATTAATTCATAAATTACAAACATAGAAATGTATCTTTGAGGAAGAAAAGTGTGAGTTTCCAAGAGAAAAACTTCCCCAATTGTCTTAGTGATTTGTTTATTCCGGCTTCATTTTGTGAATAAAGTTAAAGTAGAGTTAAGAAATAGTTACACTTAAAATACACTTAGTTTAATAATCATGTGTCATGTTTTACTGTAATGAAATTAACAAAAAAAGGATATGTTAATAAATATATGTATTTTTATTTTTAAAGTTTTTAAATATTTTTTTAAATTTTTTTAAAGATTTATTTGACAGAGAGAGAGAGTGAGCAAGAGAGAGCACAAGGAGGGGGGAACAGCAGGCAGAGGGAGAGGGAGAAGCAGGCTCCCTGCTGAGCAGGGAGCCCCATTGCAGGGCTTGATCCCAGAACCATGGGATCATGACCTGAGCCTAAGGCAGACACTTAACAGACTGATCCACCCAGCTGCCCCTATGTACTTTTACAAGGTAAATGACAGTCAACTCTAATTCAAATGAGGTAATAATTTAAACTAAATATTGTTTCCATGTAAATAAATTGCATTTATATAATTTTTTAATATTTTTATATTCTTAACATGGTGTTACACGAAAACAATGAATCATGGAACACTACATCAAAAACTAATGATGTACTGTATGGTGACTACTGTAACATAATAAAATAAATTTAAATTAAAAAAATAATAAAAAATCAAACATTTTCTATTTACTCAAAAAAGCAGTTTCAAAGATCTTATCCTTTAACATAAAGGTAAGATTCTTCTTGATTTCTAATTTTCCATTTTTTTCTGCTTTTTCATGTCTTTATGTCAATAGATATATATTTATAAATATTCCCATCCTAGAAATAATATAGAAAATATAGAGTAAAATTTGAAATTGTTGCTATACTTCCCAGATTCTCCAGAGGTAATTTCAGTATCATTATTTGAGTGTGTGTGTGTGTGTGTGTGTGTATTCTTTCATGGACAGTAAATGAAGATACTCTCCCAACCATATTTATCAATATTAATTATGACCAAATCAATTTAACTTACAATGAGCTAATGGGGAAATGTCTCATTTTCTGTTATCATTTCTTTAATTGCTAGTGATTGTGAGCATGAATTTTAATTTTGTACATTATGAATTAAATAATCATTTCTTTTGACCACTTTGAGTATTTTGTTTTCCTTCTTTTCCCCACTAAATAGTGGGAAAACCTTTTACATAGTACCAGTTATTCTTTCTCTCTTCTATATGTTTATAACATTTGTTTGCAGTCTATTTTTTGTCTTGTTAATGGTGCCTGTCATTTTGTGAAATTTGTAATCTTCTTTCTTTATGACTATTTTTTAAATTTTTTTATTTTTTTATGACTATTGGTTTTATGTCTCTTTACCAAGACCTCCATTATGCAAAGACTATTATCAATGCTTTATTATAATATTTTTATTGCTATTTAAAACTTACAGATTTATTTTTTCTGAAATGTATCCCTCTATATTTTGTGGGATATTTGCCCAAATATTTATTATTTGTCATTATATTTGTGTATACAAGAACAAATGCAAACTCTACATGTGTAGGTGGGTATATAAAACAGAATTTCATTTGTGTAAAATGAGGGATATTTATGAAGATATAGATGTCCATCCATTCTGCCAAAGACCACCTGGAATACATCTGTAGTTCAACAAGTTGGATTTATTACTAGTGTCAGCAAAGGAGAACACACAATTACAGAATTTGGGCTCGTGTTCGGTAATTTGGGGCATATAAGGACTCTGGGCTTTGCCAGAGTAGATGCTATCAGAAAAGAAGTGGTATATCTCTGATTGGGTATCTTAATAATGCTTATCTAGAAGAGGAAGGACATACTAATACTAAAGCTGAAATTGGTAAAGGAGCAGGAATTACGCACATTAGCCAGAATAGGAGGGTGTTTGGTCATTTCTGTGACCTGAACAATTTCCAAGTTTTACCTGTATTCAGACATAGAGAGTGGCCTTGCTTTTTTTCTTCATCCATCATGATCACAGATGTTGAGCTTTTATGAAATTATTTATGTTCAACAGGAGAACCCCACAACCCATCCACGTCAGGCCAAATCCTAGTAGCACCAATGCCCAGCTGATATTATTAGGCCAGATGCTGCACATCAGGGGTTGCTTCTCCCTTTCTCATAATGAATGCACTAGATTTATAGATAAACAATCTGACATTATCTATTTCCATCTTGAAACTGAATGTTATATATCTATGTAACTTTTACATATTTAGTTAAATCACTTGATAGATATGTGTTGATATATAAATAAATAAAGATATGTAGATGCCAATTTTCATTTCTTATGACAATAGCCCAATACAACAGTGAATGCAGTTAAACAGCCTCAAAGTATGCCTGATGTTTATTAAGGCAAGGTTTCCTCCAAATCAATTTTTTCTATAAAAATTCCTTATATTCTTCCTTAGCTCTCATTAAGAAAATCTTTTGAATAAACTCTCCAAGTATTATTATGACTAATGGATATTCTAAATACACTAATCCTTATTCATTGATACAAATGATACATAATTATAAAGATAATTACACTATCCACACATTCATTGAATCAACAAGTATTTGTTGAGTACCTTGTATGTACCAAATGCTAGTCTATGTACTGGAAATCCAGCAATGATTAAGATATGGACTATATTCACTTTAAATTTTTTGTATTTTTTTTTGCCAATACCACCTTATTTTAATCACAGTATGTGTGTGTGTTTGTGTGTGCACATTTGTGTTTAATTTGCTAGGCATGGGAATTGTCTCAAATTATTAAAATGGATGCATAGACTTAGTTTTTATTTCTAGATGAAAAAAATGAGTTAGAACATATTGCCTTTTTTCTATAATTTAGACAATGTATAAAATCAGCATAACTTCTTTTTTTTAATTTGAGTATAGTTGACAAACAATATTACATTAGTTTCAGGTGTACATCATAGTGATTCAACTCCTCTCTATATTATGTTATGTTCACCACAAGTATAGTTACCATGTGTCACTATACAATGCTATTATGGTATCATTGACTATATTCTCTATATGGTACTTTAATTAATTAAGAAAAAATCACCAGGAGAGCCATGTGGTATGGACTTTTCTTTGATGACAAGTTTTGATGAGAAAATAGGATTTCCTTAGCATAATTTTCTTAATAATGCTATTCACATTTTAAATGTCTACTCATGTTGGTTTTTGTGAATGCTTTTTTTTCAAAGAATTTGTCCATTTAATCTAGGTTGTTAAGTTTAGTAGTATAATGTTCATGATATCATCTTACCATTTTAATGTCATGTTACATAAGATCTATATTGATGTCCCATCTTAGTTACTGTTGTTGCTGAATTTTTTTATTAGTGTCAATAGGGGCATTTCTAACTATCTATTTATTCAAACAACTTACATTTGGTTGCAGGATGCTTGGATGCAGAATCAGTGAGAACCTGGGGTCCACTGAACCTACTGTGAGGTGGCCTTTTTCAAGGACTCCAGGTATTACCTGGATTCTCTATACCCTCACTCTACTAATGATGATGTGTTGGGTCCTCTCATGTAAATACCATGAGCAAAGATTCTGTACTTGAATCATCCTACAATGATCTGGGTATTCCCCATTCCCCAGTGTACAATTACTTCAGTAAAAGACTCTAGGTCACTCTGTTGGAGAGGGGAATGATTGAGGAAATTGCTGCTTTCTGTCCTTACTGGAGCATTGTAGGATTTCATCCTCTACCTGAGCAATGAACTCAAGCTCTGAGACTGGCTTGGGTCTGAAAATGTAGCAAGAGATTATCAAGAGATCTGTAGTAATTGGTATCAATCTTCTGCTCACTTTTTCTTAATTTTTAGTTATATACACCAAGAAATATGGTAATTGACTACCCAGATCTTTCTTAATTATCAGTATAAATCCATGCAGGTCAAAACCAGTAGTTGCCATCTCTGCCTCTCTTCCCTTTATGCTAATTTCATCCATTTTGGCTGTTATCGTTAAGTACTGCCACTTGGCCTCTGCTATTTTGGTATTCAGTGATTTCCAGTGACACCAGGGTGCCCAATTCTGTAATGACACTTCCAGCCATTAACTGTTGTCTATAAAAGAAAGTTACCACTGAGATTTTCAACAATATTAGTACCTCCTTAGTAGCACATTTTTTCATTGCCTTAGTGAAAGCAGTACCCTGTGAACCACACCAATAATTGGGTGCTAGATTTGGTATTCTTATATTTTATTATAATATGATCACTATTCTGAGCTTTTGACCCCTTCCATATTTCTCTATTAAGGTAGTTCTTACAATAAAAAAATAAAAATAAAGACGTACTGGCATATCCACCTCCTTTATTCTGGGTCAGACTGCAATCTTCAAGGATTCATCCAGCAGCAAATCAAGACTGGCCATGGGTCTCCTTGCCTATCAAATCTTGATTCACTAGAGAGTATCCCCCTATCAATAAACTCTACCCTATCCAGGCCTATATTTTAATACCTCGGGGACAGCATTCTTAGCATCCATTCCTGCATATTATCCAGGTTTTTGTCTATACATATCAGTATGTTCTTAAAAATAATCTCTTTATTGTAATAGCAGAGAGTACTTCCTCACTTGGGATATGTTTAGACTTGACATAGTCTAGAACCAACGAGGTAAGGCAGGGACAGATCTTGAAAAGAACAAGCATCATCTTCTGAGACATCCATCTCATGTGGAGTCTTTGTATGGCCTCTAGGCAATGTAAGGTTGCCTTCCTCCACCATGGGACTAGCAGTCACTTCCCAGCCCAGGGGTTTCCCAGGAATTTGAAGGTTTAAGTTTCTAAAGTCCATCATTTCAAATGTCCCAAACTAAGAAATGAGTACATTTTGCCATCTGGCCAACAATACATGCACTTTCAGAATCCTATCCTAGGTGTCTGCTTCTTAGGAAACTTCTGGTACCAGCTGATTTGGTTTTAGTTGCCTAAGAAACAGACTCTGAAACAAGGATGCATATAAGTAATTTATTTGGAAAGTGTAATAGTTCCCTATTGAGGCTGTCACAAATTACCAAAAACTTAGCAACTTAAAATAATTATCTTATAGTCTATAGATCAGAAATTCAAGTACATAAACTAGTCCAGATCCTCTGCTTGTAGTCTCACAAGGGTAAAATCAAGATGTTAATAAGGTTATGTCCCTTGTTGGAGGCTTTGAGAAGCAATTCACCTCAAGTCTCATTCAGATTCTTCCAAATTCAGTTTCTGTGGTTATAAGACTGAGATTCCTGTTTCCTTGCTGGCTATCAGCCAAGAGCATGTTTTTTTCTCCTAGAAACTAATTGCATTCCTTCTGTGCTTCCATGTGTCTTCCTTCAGCAACTGCAGGTTGGGTCTCTCTCTCTTCAAGTATTTTTGAGTCTTCTGCTACATCTCTCTGACTTCACCTGGAGAAGGTTCTCTGTTTTTAAGGGCTCATTTGATTGGATTGGACCTACCCATATACTCCAGGATAATCTCCCCATCTTAAAGTCCATAACCTTAATTACTTCTGCAAAGTAACATATCCACAAGTCCACTAATTAAAGTGAGGACATCTTTGAAGGTCCATTCTACCTACCACAAAAATACTGTCATGGGAGTACAGATATTAGGGAATGGAAGCAGGGCAGTGGTATGTGTGGGTCTGTGAGTTGCTTACTGCTCTTTTGAGCTAAAGCTAAACCCCATAGGTACCTCTAGGAAATGATATGAAACAGAGGACATCAAAACATTTCCTCACCATATGGCTTCTATTGCAAGTGTTCAACTCTGCCATTATAGCACAAAAGCAGCCATAGACAATATGCAAACATATAGACATGGCTGCATTCCAATAAGGTTCCATTTACAAAAGTAGGTGGCAGCTGAATTGACCTATTGGGCAGTTTGCACAACTCTGATATAGAGCATATCTCAGAGAATCTCCTTATAAGGGGTAAGGAATCTAGGGCATTTATTCACCAACTACACTTCATAATTATTTGTGGACTGATCATTATTAGCCCCAAGTACTTTAGGCCCAACCTGCTAAAAGCTGAGCATGCTATTGAGACCAGAGGAAGCACTCCAACAAAAAGTCTGATACTTGAACCAAATACTCTCTCCAGGAACAATCAATGCTGAGAAGATACTGGTAGGACACTGACAGTATCTGCTATAAAAGACATTCTGCTTAAAGCCTGTAGTTGTGGAAGCTCATAATGTGCAATCACAGCTCCAGATTATGTTGCTTCATTCTATCCTTCATTAAAAATAAACAGACATTTTGGGAGGCAATAGGCGCTATATTTAGGAGGATATGAATATGAGATGAGCATAGTACCACTAATCAGAAAAGTAAAATGACATTAGAAAATCTGAGATAACTGGCTGCCTGGGTAGCTCAGTTGGTTAAGTGTCTGACTCTTGATTTTGGCTCAGGTCACGATCTCAGGGTTGTGAGATCAAGTCCTGCATTGGGCTCCACACTGGATGTGGAGCCTGCTTGAGATTCTCTCTTTCCGTCTCTCCTGTCCCTCTCCACCCCACTCTCGAAAGAAAGAAAAGAAAGAAAGAAAGAAAGAAAGAAAGAAAGACCTGAGATAAATGGAAAACCTACACATGTGCATGTATGCGCGTGCACACACACACATAAACTTTTGGGAATAGCGGGGGATTAAGATAACTTGTAGAGATTTAATGTTATATAAACAGATGGTGGTCAGCTCTTTTTGTAGGTGGATAAGAAATTCATGTAACTGCTGGGGGACTAATCATTAAGTTTTATTTTATTTAAATAGAGAGGAATTGCAAAATATTACATAATAATGATATTAGATTAAATATGTGGTCTTATCTGTTGAGAATAGTCTACAGAGAGTATTTTCTTAATAGGACTGTGGTAGAATGGATATCTATATTTAGAAGTGAGCAAATAGAACAAGTTTTGATCATCCTGAAACTTGGAAATGCAAGAATGCTTGAGGATTAAGAAAAATCTGTTATAATGTTTCACCATTCTTGCAACCAAAAGAGATGGGAAAATTTGGACCAAATTCAGGAAAAGTTTGTAGAGAAAACAGACTGGGGTCACATGAGTTAGGAAATAAGTAGAGGATAAAAAGCCAAGCACTTAGCCTATATGTGCAAAACCTCTCCACTGGTATACTTGGGAACAGTGTGTGCAAACCAAGTTTTCATGACTTGTTTTCTCAATTGAAGAGGGTTGGAAGAGTGATTCATGTATCCTAAAACTTACACTCATTTTCATATCTAAGTTCTATATTAAAGACATAATTTCATATATTATCCCATATATACCATGACAACCATTTATTAGAAACACAAGAAATTATGCTCAAATCCCAACTTTTATTGCTTACCTCTTGGCTGCCACAGTCACATTCTTCATTAGGTTCCAAAATCCCATTACCACATACTGATTGATTTTGATATACCGGTTGCAAATTTGAAAAGTTCTGAAGACATTTAGCCTCAAATTTTGAAACAAAATATCTATAGTCATGTACACTACAGTTGCTAAAAATCTTTATACCACTGGAACCCCTACAATGAAATAATAATCCTCAGGTAAATCCTTAGGCTAATAAAACTCCACCTAAATAATACTCCCATATATAATGATATGAATTGCAAGATGGCAAATGAAAAACTTGTACCTGATCAGAGATGAATACAAGCATGAATAAATTTTAATTTATCATTATTTATCTTTAACATTCTTTTTTAAAAATGCCATTGAAAATGTATCTTTTCAGGAAAGCAATAAAGTGTAATGGTTAAATATCTACCTATCAATCATCTATTATCTATCATCTATCTTTCTGTCTACCTAATATGCTCTTCTCTCATATATCCAAAGCTTCCCTCCCTCATTTTAGTCAGATGTCTACTCAAATGTAACCTTCCAAAGAGGTCTTTCTTGACATTATATAAAATTGTGTCCCCTCCTGCATTCTTCTTCCACTGTCAATATTTATTATTCTACATGGTACTTTTGCATCATGTAAAAAGAAGCTCATTTGTATTTTTTAAATTTGTTTTTATGTAACTTAAATTGTGCACTAAAACATAAGTTCTGTGAAGGTTTTTATTTTCATGTTCACAGCTATATTTCTAGTGGAATATTTGAAAGATATGTCTAATGGATCTCAAATAGACATTTTGGAAAGCTATGTACAATATTGACTACTGGTCTTTTAAGCCAAGACTGTGCCATTCACTATTCTCAGTTCCAGGCAACTCTATTCTGGTTTCTCAGGTGGATAACATTGGTGTAATCCTGGACTCTTTTCTTTCATAAACATCCTCTATTAATACACATGCACGTACAAGAATATAACATATCCAGTTAACAATATTTATGTTGATTGAATGTTGGGATGATATTTTTGATATATTGATTAAATAAAATATATTATTAAAATATATTACTGCAATTAACTTCATCTGATTTTTAAAATTTTTTAATGCAGCTACTAGAAAAGTTAAAATTACATATGTGGGTCACATTTTATTTCTATTGCACAGTGTCAATCTAAGCAATCATGTCTGAAATAATAACTCCAAAACAGCCATAGCTGAGCCTCCAAGGAAATAAATGTACAGCTGCTAAGGTTTTGGAGTTGGAAGAGTGAGAAAATAAAGGAATGCTTTAGCTTTCACTGACAGCCATTTGTAATGGAATAAATACGGGAAAGTGGGAAGACTATCACAAGGAATAATATTATTTAAGCAATTTTCTATTACTTTTAACTACTTTGTTTCAATAGCTATCAGTGCCACTCCACTTTTGCAGGCCATTCTCAGGCAAAAAGCTACAAATTTTGAGCACTGATATTTTTTATACAAAATTAGTTTAAAAATAGACAGAGACTTAGATGAATCACTAAATTCTAATCCTGAAACCAATATTGCACTGTATGTTAATTAACAAGAATTTAAATAAAAATTTAAAAAGAAAAAATAGAAACAGGTTATTTTCTACTTGGGTCACATGCTTTTTGAGTAAAAATTAAAAGTACTAATTAGAACTTGGAACTTTTGCTTAAAGTGTATACAAAGCAATTTATTTTTTTAAATCTTTGCTTAAAAGATGGCCATGGAAAGGAAGAAACGAATGTGTTAGCCTAAGTATATAGAATTTTAATAGACCAAGACATTTCAAAGTAAATATTAATTGATTTGCTTTTTGTGGGGAAGATTACCATTCAGGTCTAAAGACAACTATAAAATAGTTGAGCTAAGGCAACTATTTCAAAGTACTTTAATTTCTAATCCCAAACTCCAAGGGTGGGCTAGGAAAAATTGAAATAATTATTTTAGGGGAACATAGTTTTTCCAGCAGCCCTAACCCTTTTTGAATCCCATGGACATTAACTTGGCAAAACCTCAACTATTTACTTTCTTTATATATACACTTTGGTAGCTGAAATTATATGGACTAGAATAAATAACATGCTGTTTGAATTCACATTACATTTGTAATTACTAATATTAAGTATATCTTCAAAAAGCCCAACAATCCTATCACATTCTTGTCATTTCTAATTTCTAGGCTCCAAGACAAGTGTTTCACATCTTTTATCCAGGCTTTTATACTCCTTATTCTGAACTTCAGAATAAATTGTCCTCATCTTTATACCTCCATTAACCAAACTACCTACATCTTTATCTATTTACTCTGCTAACATAACAATAATTGAATATACTCAGCTCCAATAAAAGTCAGCCTCTCTACTTATGCGCTAAACTCTATCCTCTCTAATTTACTCAATTATTTTGTTCTTAAGTCTTCATTATATCTAAAATCGTCTTTTCCCTCTCTTCGCTTCATTTCTTTCAGTCTATAGATAATATGTAGTTTCTCCCATCTTAATAAATTTTTAATGTTGTTGTTCTAATTGCATACTGATTCTGTTAATATATGTAGGTAGTCAATCATAATATCCATAAATAGGGACAATTTTTTTCCTTCCTCAAACCTTTCCTCCTTTTACTTTCTCTTAAAATTCTAGCCAAAGCTGCCAGTACTAGATCACTGAGGGTAATTTTAGACGTTTGCTTTGAATGCGATATACTACAACAACCAAAACAATAGCACCATGTTTACATAATATTTCACAGTCCTCATAAATCTTAAAAATTTCCCTCTAATTCCCCCAAGTGAGCATTTCTTAATCATGTAATTTACCACTTTCCTGGAGTCATATCACTTAGACAAATTTGTTAGTGTGATATCTCTTTGTGCACAACATACCTTTCCAATTTTTGACAGAGTTGAATATAAAAAATAAAAAAATCATCACATCTTGTAAACAACTTCACAAATATATATGTGAAACTAATTAAGAAGAAAAAGAGTCTTACACTGCTTTATGATTCATTATGCATGTAGATCTTGGACAAGAACATTTATCAATATCATCATATGTTAATCCCATTTTAAGCCCAAGTAGTTGAGCTATAATAACTGAAAATCCCTCCAAAGTTATTGTATCTGGATACTAAAAATAAAGAAGATTGAAGGGAAAACCATCATACAAGAAGTTAACAAAAGCAAGTAATACATTAAAACATTTGTTCCTATAAAGTTTTATATTTCAATAGTTTTTATGTTAAGCATATTTTAAAACATGTTATTTTGATATGTCATTGATAAGACTATCCATACTGATTAATTGACTAAGAATCATGCAACAGTGTAAAGAATGATCAAGCTAGAAGTATTTTTTGGTTTAATATTTGACAGGCTCAAATTCTATAGCCATAGTATTTTGGATGCAATCAACATAAAACACATTTATTTAACTTTCTCATTAAATCAGTTCATCCAATTAACAAATATTAATTCAATATACACATGTGTCAAGCACATTAACAGAAGATGAAAATGTAGTGGTATGCATGAAGAAATGGACTTTATCACACTAGGAGCTTCCATTACAGAAGGGGAGGAAAAAAATAAACAAGAGACTTAAACTTCCCAAATACAAAGAGATCATGAAAAGTGTTCTAAAGAAAATGAAGTGCTCCAATAGAGAATTTTGAGGTGGAGTATAACTGCTTAATATTTGTGAATTAGTATTTAAGCTGAAGTGTAACATTTAGGAAATAACCCAGCAATATAAATAGGATTAAGGTGCTTGTATGGGAGCTCATTAAAATGTTGTAGTATAATGAATAAAGTAAAAACAAAAAATAACAGAAATTAAAGTTATAAGCTAAGCCATGGTAAAAACACTTGGAATGAGAAGTTATTTTAAAAAGGTTGCTGGCAGTGCAGAGTGGTATGTCATATTATTTAACTTTAATAAATAAATTGTGAAACTTTCTCATCCCATTGATCATCACAAGCAAAATACTTTCTCTAATTTTTCTACATCAAGTGAAATTTATGATAAAATTTAAGTAATTCATACCTCAAAGAAAAAAAAGAAGATTGTGTATGTATGTGCAAGTGTGTGAATGAAAACATGGAAAAATTAGTTAATAGCTAATAGTAAATGGTTTCCTTTCTTTTTACCCTATAAGAGCTAAGCATGAAAGAAAGGCAAAATCCCAATAACAGAATTTAAAAGAAACTTAAAGCCACAGCAGAACATGAAAGATGATATCTGGCTGATCACCAGATTTTAGGGAAAGTTGTAATAACCAGAAGATGACCTTTTACTGCCAGCTCAGAAAAAGAAGACATGGTTTTGTACTTCCATAATTATACAGTTGAAAATAAATCCCCTGTATAAAGTCATGCAACAAAATAAAATAACCTAGTGGTTATACTGTGCAGGAAAGGAAGACAGATTACACACACTCACACACACACACACACACAAATCACAACAGGAATAAAAAAGAGGACATCACAGCCGATGCTACAGATTAAAAAGAGCTATGATGTGCAAAAGAATGAAATTGTACCCCTATCTTACACCACTCACAAAAATTAATGTGACATGGATTAAAGACTTACTCATAAGACCTAAAACTGTAAAATTTTTAGAAGAAAACATAAGCAAAAATCTCCCTCACATTGGTCTTGGCAATGATATTTTGGATTTCACATCAAAAGCACAGGCAACAAAAGCAAAAATTAACAAGTGGTGGAATTACTGGAGCAACCCAAGTGTTCACTGATAGATGAATAGATAAAGAAGGTGTGGTATATATACACAATGGAATATTACTCAGCATATAAAAGAATGAAATCTTGCCATTTACAACAACATGGTTTGGCCTAGAGGGCATAATGCTATATGAAATAAATCAGTCAGAGAAAGACAAATACCATATGTTTTCAATCATATATGGAATTTAAAAAAAGCAAAACAAATGAACAAACACAGAAAAAAAAAAGAGAGAGAGAGAGAACGAACCAGAATCTTAAATACAGAGAACAAACTGGTGGTTGTCAGAGGGGAAGGGGGGGATGAGCAAAATGGATAAAAAAAGATTAAGAGTACACATATCTTGATGAGCACTGAAAAATGTAGAGAATTGTTGAATCATTATAGTGTACACCTGAAACTAACATATCACTGTATGTTAATTATACTTGAGTAAACACAAACAAAAACCAAAAAGATGTAAATTGGGACTACATCAAACTAAAATGTTTCTCCATAGCAAAGGAAAAAAATCAACAAAATGAAAAGGCAACCTATGGAATGGAAGAAAATATTTGCAGACCATATATCCAATAAGGAATTATATAAAAAATAACTCATATTTATATTGCTGGGTCATTTCCTAAACTCAGAACTCAATAGCAAAACACCAAATAACTCAATTAAAAAATAGGCAAAGGAATTGAATAAACATTTTTTCCAAAGAATACATACAAATGGTCAACAGGTATATAAAAGATGCTAAACACCACTAACCATCAGGGGAATGCAAATCAAACCCACCATGAGATATCACCTTACACCAGGTAAGATGGCTATTATCATAAAGACAAGAGATAACAAATGTTGGTTAGGATGTGGAGAAAAGCTATTGGTGGGAATGTAAATTGGTACAGCCATTATGAAAAATAGTGTGGAAGTTCCTCAAAAAATTAAAAATAAAATTATCATATGAGCCAGCAAACCCACTTCTGGTTATATAAACAAAATAAATGAAATCACTATCTGTACCCCTATGTTAATAGCAGCATTATTCAAAATAGCCAAGTTTTGGAAGCAACAGAAATGTCCATCAATAGATGAATGGATAAAGAAAATGTAGTCTATCTATACAATGCAGTATTTTTCAGTCACAAAAAAGGAAATCCTTCCATTTGCAACAACATAGATGGCCAGAGGTGCATTATGCTAAGTAAAATGAGAAAGACAAATATGTATGATATCATTTATATATGGTAACTTTAAAAAAAAGTCAAACTATGGAAACAGAGAGTAGAACTGTAGTTGCTAGGAACTAGGGAAAGGGGGAAATGGGGAGATGTGGGCCAAAGGGTACAAACTTCCAATTATAAGATGAATAAGTTCTGAGGGTCTAATATAACTATGGGAACTATAATTCATAATTATGTATTATATACTTGAAATTTGTTATGAGAGTACATCTTAAGCATTCTCATAAAACATAACACTGTGAGTTGATGAATAAATTAATTTGATTATGGGAATTGTTTCATAATGTAAATATATCAAATTATCACAGTGTACAATTTAAATATATTAGTACTTTATTTATCAGTTTTACCTCAATAATGCTGGGGGCAGGAGGAAGAGCTATGGCATGTGTTTGTGTGTGCATGCAAATAGAGGAAAAATGTTCTCCATTTTT